TCTTCTAAATGACAAATATCAGGCCCAGATGTTATTAATGCACACAGCACTTGGTAGAAAATAACAATTTTGTTTTTGTTGTCCATGTGTTTGAATGCTTAATCCACATTTTCACAATATGCAAATAACTCAAAATGCCCAGAGTAGAATTGTTCATGATCATAAGTGAGTTAAGAGAGTTTTATTTTCATTTCGGGTTGCATGGATTAAGATGTTTTGCTATTGTGGGGCAATTTCAAGTTAAGTGAATGTTAAAGGAATTAAATGGTCTTCAGCCTGAAAATGTTTGAGAAACACTGATCTAGAGTCAACCACAACCACATTTATTACAGCTGGAAACTACTGACCAGGCCCCAAATTGTGTGTGGTAATAGACTGAACCTTCAGAGCCACATAAAAACAGTTACAAAGTCAGCTTCTTTCATCTGAAGAACATTTCCAGGATTAAAGGACTAATGTAATGCAAGATCTAAAGAAACTCATCCATCCATTTATCTTTGGTGGATAAGACTGGTTGAAAAGATTGGTTTCTTGTGTAAATACTGGCCAACTGCTGACCATCCAATATTAGGGAAACTGGGGCCAATTTATTTGCCACCCAATTTATCGATGCAATGGAGTTTGTTCAATATTTGCATTAGATGAGTGTAATTACATTTGCATTCTCCACAAGTTGGTGAGACTTCTGAATGACAGAAGTCTATTTGTGGGAAAGCTTACCACCTCAAGACGTTGGCTCATTTACAATATTGTCTTCAGGAAGACTAAAGGTATCTGTTCAGAACTTTTAAAGATGAAATGCAGCCTCTTGTCATAGAGACACATCCCACATGAATAACTATTAGGCACTGGAATAAAAACTGCATAGGGATATAGGCAGTAAAAAATAGGTCCAAACATATTTTAGCCTTTCATGTGGAGTTACTCTCACAACCAGTAGAAGTTTTAAGCAGATTTTACCAAAGTCAAATGAATGCGCTGAAAAAAAAGTACTGTACACCAGATACAATACGAGTATCTGCTCAGGTGCAGCTCGGGTTTGGTCAATTATTTAACAAGAACTTGGTCATTTAGTTTTAAAACATGGTGTACAGAACTCTTTTACATAAAAAAAGAGTTCCGTACACTTTAAATATGGAAAAGTCAAATTTAGTGAATTGGATGTTGAGTCTTCAATAAGAAGAGTTGATTATTAGTTGATAGCTANATATATATATATATATATATATATATATATATATATACACTAGTAACTAGTAATGTAGATTTTAAAGTTGCCGTGAAGATCACAATTTGAAATTGAAAGGTCATCATGTTCATGTTCAACCGTTCTGTTGGAGTCATGTGATACCTGTGGACAAACTGTTGTGTTGATTGAATTGCTGTCATAATCTCAATTTATGGAACTATAATCACAGACTAATGTGCGCTACCCAAAGGAGCTTTTAATATCATAAATGCAGAAAGGGGTGACAAGAGACACTGTTATTCTGTCCAGATCCCTCTGATCTTGTTTTTATGCAACTGTCTATGTGAGCTAAATCCTGAAATAGTTTTTGGTTTAAATGATCAGGCCGATTATAGATAAACTTGGATATTCAGGCTTTAACTTAACTGCCAACTCATTTGTCGATTTGTTCAATAATTTAGCTGGAGCAAGGTTGCTTTGCATTGAAAATGTTGCTTCTTTTCTTTATACACAGTTTTTTTTATTAAAGTTCAACTAATTACAGCCCCTGCAATTAATGCAATTAAATCATTCTATGGAGTCCCACCACAATTCTTTTATGTACATATTTAGATGTAAAAATATGTAATAATCGGTTTGATGTGACATCTTTCCATACAGACTGGAAGAGAGCTCTGACCTTCCATGTTTTCTGTGCTTACTCTGCAGGCTTCTCTGATAGACAGAAAAGCCAGTTGTCATGGTTACCTCTTTAGAAGGCAATGCTTGTCTCTGTGTTAAGTGGGTGGGGGTAAGATGCTCCCAGGCTGAACACTGGTCTCTGAGAATGGATATGCTGGTGACGACTAAGGCGGTGGCTTTGCATTATTGATGCATTCCAGTGAAACAGACAGTGACTTTGTAAATGAATGTTTGATGGAAAATGTTCATGCTCAAGCTTAAGAACAGAGATTTGTCACACTTGGCAGGTTTAATTAAGCCAGAAGGTAAAACGTCCAGACACAAGACGAAACATAAGCAGGAACAAAGAAAGGGCATGTTGGAGGAGTTGTGAAGGACGCCAGGGTGCGATTGATTCCTATGTACCTCATTGTAAATGCCTTTAAAGTGTTTGTATTTTCATTCAGCCCAGACGTGATCTTCAGGACAACCTGACCAAATACATCTACATTTTATCTAGAGGCAAACTAAGCCCCATTTCATCTATTACTTATGAAATATTTTCTGTAGGATTCAGTTTATCTCCATTTATCTGCATTACCATATAGTTTTTATTTAAGGACATTGCTTGAGGGTTCTCTTGGTCACTATAGCAACCAGTCTGTTACACAAGGATGATTAAAACAAGGTTTCATAAACCATGACTCTGCTGCTATGAAGAGGAAGTATGTATTCAGCCAGGCTAAGCTGTTTTTACAGTCATTCTATGGTAACTATGTGACTCTTTTTTCTCGATACTAGAATGAGTTTTTTTAACATGTTTTTTTCTGGTCAAGAAGAAGATGAGCATCCAAGAAAATAAAATATATTTTTGCACCTGTATTTTAGAAATGCTAGTCGAAATGATATTTTCAATGCATTTGCTGAATACTGCAGTTAACTGCATAATTTAAAAAGTTTGATGCATCTTTACCAGTCATGTTATGAAATTAAAATGACTACTTATTTTCCTTTAGACCAGGGGTGCCCAAAGTCGGTCCTCGAGGGCCGGCGTCCTGCGTGTTTTAGTTCTCTCCCTGGTTTAACACACCTGCATCAAATGATGGCTCATTAGAGGCCTAAAGACAACAATGACTTGCTGAAAAGGTTGTTACTACTAACACCAGGGAGAGAACTAAAACATGCAGGACGCCGGCCCTTGAGGACCAACTTTGGGCACCGCTGCTATAGAATAATTTAAATTCTTGTTTCAAATTACATGAACGTAATTTCTGATCTGATAAGGAATTTTATTAAACATGAGTGAATTCTGCTCAAAAATATTTAGTGTGAACAGGACATTATCCTCAAGCTTTGCATTTTCTGTGTAAAATGAACACAGAGAAGAGTCTGATCAATGTAACACACTTCCATCTCACTCACGACGTAACCCAAGATACACAAACATGCCGCTAAGCACTCTGGGAAATAGTTCCTACTCCTGTCTTTTTCTTCTTCCAGTTTTTTTAAGTGCTAACCTAAAAATTGGTGTATTCAATTCTTGGAGGTTTGACAAAATTCATAAAGTTAACGCAACTTACTACTTTAAGATTATCTTTCACAAACTCACAAATTTCGGTTCAAAATCTAACACTCACTACATTTATTTGCCCTAAAGAGTAGAAGATAGTAGACACAACTAAATGGAGCTCAAATGTTTTACAGAGCATAAATAGCAAGATAGATTAACTATGAACCTACACTATAGATAACTGACTAAGCACAACTGATGGTTATTGTCAGATTGAGCTGATGCATATTCATTTACTGCATAGGGGTTTATTAACTTCAAAAGTTTACTTTATAACAAAAAACTATTTAAGATGTATGTTGCCTGAACTGGTCAGCTAACTTCATTTGAAGTTATCTGCCATATCACCAGCACAGGTATAGCTGTGAAAAAGTCCATTTAAAATCACTCAGACTTATATTTTTTAAAAAAAAGTACTACACTTAGTGCCTTTATGTTAATTAAATTTACAGCTTCTCCTACATTGGTGTTCAATTTATGGCTGTGGAAGCAGAACCACATTTACATTAAAACCTCCTAACCTGCAGCAGAATGCTGGGGGTGAGTGTAAAGGGGTTTTAAAGTAAACATATTTATCTCCATATTTAACCATATTTAAAAGTTCTAGTAGTATAGAAAACATCAAGGGTAATTTTTTCCATGAGAAAGAAAAGAGAACAGTTTGTGAAGTATAGAGAAGTACATATATTATTAGTTCAAAGTTGCTGATTTTTTGTGGTGCAGTGCAGTTTTCTGCAGCAAGCAAACAATAGCTGACTGCGTGTCAACTTGAAAAGTCAGATCACAGCTGTTTGTATGTGTGTGATGTAGACATCAGCGCTGCAGTGTCAGTACTGCATCCTTTTCTCTGATATCAGACTGCAATATTGTGGACAGCCTAGGATAAAGAAGATGGCTACATGTTTCATGCAATCCTTAACCTTTATTAGAGACAATGTTTGTGTTCAGATACCATTGGCAATGCAAAACCTATCTGCTCAGCCTAAGTGAGGTGTTTCAGGACTTCTGACTATGGGCTCTCTGGTCAAAGCAGCATGAATGCGGTAAAAATAAGCATCACACAGTGCTTTTCCACAGGAGGAGGAGAGTTCTGGGAGCTTTGAGCAAGCTGTGTGTAAGCCAGGATTTAGCTTGGATGAAGACACAGAAAGGACAAAACTGCTGAATCATTCTGGACAGTTTCCAACTGTAGCTCACCCAGCATCCAAAAAGAGACAGGAGACATGTCCTTCCCAGTTGGGGATGCACATACATTGATAGGCTCATAGGATGATTTACTCATAGTGCATGTACAAGCATACATTTGCTATACATGAATTGTACAGAAATATATTTGATGTACAATACATCAAATAAAGCCTCTAATGCTGTCAAAACTGTTTTAAAAAACTTGTACTTAGTCAAACCATCAGTCAACATTGTGATGCATGTTAATGCCCTGTGAAGTAACTAGCACCAGTATAGATTATTCATGTCTGTTGCAAAGCTTTGACAAAAAGTGACTAAAATTTGTACAGCAGCTAAATTAACTAAATCTGTGACCTAAATATGTTCTGTATGTTTTTTTGGTGTCTCTTTCAGTCGGATAGCAACACCAGTTTTCTGCGAGCAGCAAGAGCAGGGAACATTGACAAAGTTTTGGAATATCTCAAAGGAGGTGTGGACATCAGTACCTGTAACCAGGTAGGAAATAGAACTCCGTCTGTCCGTCCGTCCATCCATCCACCCACCAGTGTATTTATGGCAACTTTAAGGGCACTGTCATCTGAGCCTAAATTCCTTCACACCTACACAGTACCGACTACATACATTATTTCTGTTTACAGAATTGTTTCTACTCCTCTAATGATGAGAAGTTTGGTAGACTCAGAGAGATTCTTTATTTAGGCCCGGTCATTATCTAGTGTCCTCTAAGCCCATTAACATTCCCAGCACCAATGAAGGAGAGAGATGAAACCTGATGGCGTGTAAACAGGCCTGGCCTAGCAACAGCTATAATGAGTAGCCAAGTAAACAACGGTCACATGAAATGGAAGTGTAAAATTTGTCACTGGCTCTGTGGTGTGTGGAAGGTTTTTTTATTATCAGCTAATGTAGTAGGAATGATGTTGGCACTGATCATTCTTACCCTTGAAGATATTTTAAACTGTAGTAAGGTAAGGTAATTTTATTTATATAGCACATTTTCAGCAACAAGGCAATACAAAGTGCTTAGAACATGCTTTACACAAAGTTGAACTGATGGAAAATTGCAAAGTACAACTGAGGTACACAGAAGTAAATACATAACAGGTCAGTTTGCAGCTGCAGGAGATGCAGCAAGAACTTACATTGTTTTTGAAATGGCCTACTGAAACATTACAAAGAATTGTAGTATGTTGCTGTTTTATAACTTCATGACTGACTGTGGAATTAAAACTATGTCCAACAATAGTTTTAACAACAAGAACTGTATTGATGTGTTATGTTGTTGTTGTTACACAGCATTGTTAGTGTCAACATTATCATTATCATTGCCAATACTATTAGAGCTGTTATTAGCATATCATTTTATTGTATTAAGCAAGAATCTGAAAGTAGAATGAAAGTATACTGATACAATACATATAAATAGGATGAGATCATTTTGTGATGTTTCTGGAGAAGGAGTGGTTTTTAATAAGTATATACTTCTTCCCACTCCTTTGAATGTTTATTGTGTATTGCATTGCTGTAATTTTATTTGTAACTTGCCGTGTTCAATAAATTTCAAAATACGAAAGTCACTGTTGTGATTTCCTACTAATCCATCATTACTGTTTTCTTCAAAAAAAAAAACAAAACAAAACAAAAAAAAATACATATATGTTTGCTGAAAAACATCATAACTGACAAACTTCTGTTAATTGTTTAGTACTTCCAACTTCACTGAGATAAGAACTATTTAAGTCCAGGACAATAATACCTATAATACAGGCATTAGAGTCAGTTTTGTGGTGGTACATGCTAGGCTACAAACAGTTGTGTGATAATTGAGTTCTGTGTTAGTGTTAGTATGCCATTATTTCAGTGATGCCCCAATGTGACTGTGATAGTGTGAGTTTCTGTACAATCCATCTTTCTAGGGAAATGAGGAAGATCAATTCAATGAGCCTGGTTGGCATAAGGCTGAATTAGCCAACTTAGCTAAATCCATCAAAAGCTTTTTTAGCGTTACCAATGTTACAAATCTCTGACTTAGTAAGTTGTTTTGGTAACACTTTATTTGATGGGGTGTGAATAAGACTGACATAACACATGTCATGAACATCAATAAGCCTTCATGAATAGTTATGACTGTTGTCATAAAGCGTCATTCGGTAAATCATGACACCTTTAATACAAAGTTGACATTATTCGAAATGTCTTTGTTATGACAACTTGACATTAACCAAGAAATCATGATCTGACATAAATTTGTTATAAAAGTATTACAGATTAAACTTTAAAAATTATGTTGATAAGAGATAATATTATTGACATTATAATGACACTTAATGACATCGTCATAACTGGTGCCACTTGTTTCACTTTATGTAAGATGAATTTGTAATGACTGTTTTTAAAGCTTAATGAAATCTTTATTGTTGGTCCTACTTGTTCCGTTTTATTTCAGGTAGGGGGAAATAAGTACTGTTTTGTTAATGTTTTTGACAGTGTAATAGTGTAATAACAGTTAATGACATTATTATGACTACTATTATGACATATTTATGACAAATGATGTTTATTGGTTAATGTCAAGTTGTCATAACAAAGACATTTTGAATAATGTCAACTTTGTACTGAAAGTGTCATAATTTACAGAATGACACTTTGACAACAGTCATAAAATATTCATGAAGGCTTATTGATGTTCATGACAGGTGTCATGTCATGTTCATGACAGTGTCATGTCAGACTTATTCACACCCTGTCAAATAAAGTGTTACCATTTTTTTAAATGGAATTTATATACCCAAAGGAGAAACATGAAGATAACTTACCCCAGTTGGAGCTTCTTGAAGTCCATTGGAAATGTAACTGTTAAGCATTTACCTAACCTTTCCACATCATGATTCTACACCATCCATGTTTCACTGTAGGGGTTGTGTTGATGTGCAGCAGAGGTGGATATAGTAGACATAAATTGTTCTCAAGCTTAAGTAGCATTTCCTCAAAGAATATAGACTAGACAAGTAGACATAACAGTCAGGTCCAGTAAGACTATTTCTATAGTTTTTCAAAAAGTTACTAAAGTAAATATTCCTAGTTAGTAGTTTTGGGCACAACTGACAAAGAAGTTAGATATTCTCTTTATGATTATATCTTGGTCTCTACTGTGCATGTTTTATTTTGTTCTTGTGGGTTTCTAACTACCTGAATAATTCTTAACAGTCAATAACAACAGCTTACAGACTTTATTCAACTGAAACTTTACACCTTAGAATTGATCTGAAAATAAATAAATAAATCAGGGGAAGATAGGTGTGCTAATTGTTTTCAAAATGAGCAGATACTCTAAAGCACTAAGCAAAAACGACACACAAATAGATCTTCTGAATTAGGTGGATTCAGAAGAAATCACATTACTGTTGTATCACACATCACAATCAGACTTTTTTTAATCACACTCCCTTTTCCTTATCCTTAGTATCATTCTTGTGTTTGTGTCATTTGTGAGCTGCTCCAACATCACATGACACTGCTGTGCCCACTGAAGATACGAACAGAGGTCTTAAAAACTACTACAAGGTTGAAATCAGTAGGATTTGCCCATTTCATTCTTTGTTTAAAGCTCTACAGGTCACAGATCAGTGCCAGTGCAATAACATTACAGTTCAGATATTATAGCTAGTGCGTAACTGTGTGTGTATGTGTGTGTGTGTGTGTGTGTATCTGCACACAGAATCACAAACACAGTCAACTATTTATAGCTTCATTCCCAGTAATCGCTCTGGTCCACTGCAGCATTACAAGGTTCCACATGTAATCTAACGTTGATAAGCAGCTCTTCACACTGCTCCTGTGCCCTAGAAAGATGGACACAGATGACAATCATGCTTCTTTAATGATAGACTTAGAAGATAAGGTTGTAACTATTTTGTCCAAATGTGACAGTTTGTGTTTGCCGTGTCTTAGAACCTCAGCTCTGATATTTCTTTCTTTTATCCCCAGAATGGTCTGAATGCTCTGCATCTGGCTGCCAAGGAAGGTCATGTGGATCTGGTCCAGGAGCTGTTAGATCGGGGTGCATCTGTGGATTCATCCACAAAGGTAAGATATAATATATCCATGCATAACATCCAACATCAGCTGTAGTCGTTGTACATGTTTACATATCCAGTTTTAACATGTAATATTGTTCTATAGATAAACCACCTGTTTTCATTCACTGTTTCAACATAGCAGTAAACACGTTGTTGTCGGCTTGTGTCAGAAGCTCAGTTCTTTAGCCGAGCTTGACCTATAGCTCCATGACCGCTGATCTTTCCTCTGTGAGTCTGAAATCTGACACCAGACAGACAAGTCAGTCTTTATCGAGCTTCCTTTTCAAAAAACTTCTAGTGATGTTTAAACCAACTTATTAATTTAAAAGAGATATCCTCTGCAGTTATGACAGATGTTATTCATTGAGAAAAACAAGTTCTGCATGTTTTTACTCCCGAAACAGAGCTCCAGAGTAAAGGTGGAGGGTTAAAGGAAAATGATACGTACAGTGGGGTCAGTGCCATGGGGCCAGGCCCCTCCTCAGAGAATACCGGTCTTGCCATAAGCTGCAATAAGAGAAGGAGTCATGTTGCAACTAACCTTAGTGATGCTCCAAAGTGCAAGTGTTAGCAAACATTATGCCGGAAAGTATTTCTAAATGGACGAAGAATTTTAAAGTTACACAAAAGATTACTGTGAGTATGTAGTCTTTTGTATATTCAACTGCAAACTTTTTGCCACTGTATCTTATGACATGGACTGTGTTTGTGAGACATACTGTAAGTGGATTCTCTCCTTTTGGATTTGGTGAAGGTGTCATGGGAGTTTAATTTCCTATTCAGTTGTTGTGGTGACCTGGCAAAGACCATGTCAGGGCCGTGCAGAGGCCACTAAAGGGGCAGGTGCTCAAGCCCGCCTAGTCCCCCCCTCTGCACGTGTCTAGTCCTGTGTGACATTCTGTGTGGTGTGCCACAGTCAGTTTAAAAGTTGTGCAGTCCCTGTTTAAAACAATTATTTTAGTAATCAAGTAATCTATTCATTATTCTGATGAATAATCAAGTAATCGACAAAAATATTTAGTAAAATAAAATACTGACAAATATTCGCATAACAGCAGTATTAATATTGGGTGTCAATATCAACACAAATTCTCATATTTATGCATCCCTAACAATTATTTTTCTGAAGTTTAGAAAAATAACCTGTACAGCTTATGTACTCACCAGCCAATTTAATAGGTACGCCTTGCTAGAACTGGGTTTGACCCCCTTTTGCCTTCAGAACTGCCTTAATCCTTCGAGACATACACTGTAAAAAAAAAAAAAACGGCCTCAATTTACGGTAAAAAACTGGCAGCTGAGTTGCCAGAATTTTACTGTCTTTATACGGTAAAATTCTGGCAACCAAAACTGACAGTTTTTTACCGTATTTCCCAAATACGGTAAAATACCGTATTTCCTAAAATATTTTAAAAAAAAAAATTAAATGTTGTTTTGCCGTAGTAAATATGGTCATACTGCCTGAGGTATAAAATCTACATAAGTGAAAAACACGGCCAGACTGTATGATATATTGACATTTTATTGTAAAAAAACAAAAAAAAAAAAAAAACAAAACAAAAAAAAAACCTTATGGTAAATTACTGGTCACTGTTCTTACCAGAATTTTACCATAAAAATTATAGTACAACACACAAGGAAGTGTAAGTTGTCAGCATTTCTATACAGAAAGTTATAAAGAAAATTAATTCAAATTAAACAAAAATACAGATTACGAGTAATCCACTTAAAGAAACAATTTGTACTTAAAAATTCAGTTAAAAAAAGAACCAATTCTATTTTCTGTCCAGTTTCCTCATGGTATTACTGAGATCTGGAAAACAAAACAAACAAAAAAACAGCATGTGTCCACATAAGAGATAACCTATTGTAGAAGAAAAACCGGTGATAAAATGATTCTTGTTCTGGGTTGAGTGTAACAAGTCACTGAGTTCAGAGTTTGCTCAGGATGGTTGTAGTCTTCCCAGTCACAGGTTGAAATTGAGACTCACATGTTGTCAATTTTCCTCTCTGCTGGAAAACGAACAAAGCAAAAGTTAGAAAGATGCACTACATGAACATCATATAAATGTACCATTTGCTTAAATGTTTGTTTCACCTTTGTTGACTTGCATATGGAGACCCGTGGAGTCAACCAGGCGGTGTGATCATTTCTGACTGAAAAGTCAGTAGTTCTTAAACCTTTGTTTGTTGACTACAGGTGTGATCCTCTGGTCTGCAACTAGACAAAATACACAAACAAAATCCACAAATAAAAACAAATATAACTGTTTTAGGCGATTTATGAAATAGATACTCACCATTTATCCGAGTCTCATGAAGCCCAATAAGTTGTCTTCAACCATGTATGTAAGATACAATTCCTGCAAGCTAGCAGAAANTATGTTAAAGCTTTGCCACTAGATGGTGGCAAAGAAAAAGACTATATCTGCTTTGAAGCTAATTTATCTATTAAAAATAGCACCTCATGTCATGGTTATGGTGCCAATTTAGATAGAAAAAATGTCTAACTCACAGGCAGGCAATCCTTCCTGAAAAATATAACATTAAATATAACGTAATGAGAGAAGATTACAGACCTGATAGCGTTCATGTGAACTAAAGACATTATTTCAGAGGAGTCCAGGAAGCTGCCTGTGCTTTGTTTTACAACACTACTTCCTCACTATTAGATTAGCACAGATTAGACTAAATGGGGATTAACAGAGATCCATTTAACAGGAGGCCTGCAAAGTGAACCTGATGAGGCCTCTGAAGCATTTCTGAGCTGGGAGGGTTGAGGAGGCAGGGGGTTTGAAATCAGTTCATTGCAAGAGGTGCATTTGATTAATTAGTGTTTGCCCAAAGACATTTTAATTATTAGCACTTTTAGTGGTAATAAATAGTATAGTGACCTTCTTACTTTGATTAGCCAGTGGCCTACTACTGATGACCCAGAATACTGAAAGTAGTAAAGATCCATCATTCTCAGCTGTGTCATGGTTCTATGTTCTGTATTTGAGGCAGCTTTCCACAAAATTGTTAGACCAAGCTTGATGTACTCTTGGCATCAAACTAAACTATTGGTTTACTCATGGTGGTACTGGTTGCTGTAAAAGAGGAGAAAATGTGCTGAAACCACCGTCTTCAAATTGGTATCAGGCAAAATGAAATCGGCAGGTCAGGCTTTTTAAAGATCGGTAACTGGGGATCTGCCAGAAAACTGCAATCAGTGCAGCCCAATGTAAGATGGAATACATGCACTCATATTTGTGACCATTGATGTCAGCAACGCGTTAACATGTTACTGACATCGGACCACTTTTTTCAGTAACGAGTAATCCAACACGTTGCCATTTCAAATCCAGTAGTCAGACTACAGTTACTTATCGAAATCACTTTGCGTTACCATTTTCTTTTGTAATTTAATTTAATGACATGTTTGGTTACCTGACTCTGGTGCAGGACAATTACAAACACAACAACACAATCAAAGATAAGTCTCGCAGGGGTGCCCAAAGTCGGTCCTCGAGGGCCGGCATCCTGCATGTTTTGGTTCTCTCCCTGGTTTAACACACCTGGTTCAAATGATGGCTCATTAGAGGCCTAAGAAGAACATTGACATACTGAACAGGTTGTTACTACCACCAGGGAGAGAACTAAAACATGCAGGATGCCGGCCCTCGAGGACCGACTTTGGGGACCCCTGGAAAGTTTATTTCGAACTGCAGCCGGGACAGACAGGTGAAAGGACGGCAACAGGCAGGAGGTGAGGACTGGTCAGGGATTCGCTCTGGTGGGAAAAGGTGAGTTACTGATACGTCGTCTGAATGGGAGATCAATGTGCAACAGAGAAGAGGCTGATCTTACCGTTGGTAGAGATGAGGTGATCCTGGGGGGAAAAGGGATATCCACTGAGACTGAGATGCGACTCTCCAGATGCTGTCTTCCAAGCTTAGGAGAGGAGGCGAGAGACCGTTGGAGGATGGGCAGCCAGGCAAGTGGGTTGATCAGGGTTGATCCAGCAGCGAAGGTAGGCAGATAGGAAGGAGCCAGGCAGGAGATGGGAAGCAGCTATCAGCATGCAGCTGATGGGGATGCCACCGGGAGGGAAACAGAACCAGCGAAGGTTCGACTTGGACCAGGAATGAGAACTCTGAGAGGAAAGAAAAAAGGACAGGTACTAAGTTACAAACGAGACTGAGACTCACTAGTATCTGTTACCAGGAAGCTCAGGTACCACTAGATACGTAGAACCATCTGGCATCTGCCACCAGAATCCAGCTCCTATTTAACTGCTCCTCCTGATAAGATGATGAGCTGCAGCTGGCTACGCCTGTCTGACACACTCTGCAGGAGAGAAGGTAGGAGACGCACACACTCACAGCACTCAGCTCAGTGGATATGACAGTACCCTACCCCCCTCTTAATGGACGCCTCTCAGCGGACAACCAGCGGTAGAAGCAGATGACCCCTCAAAAGAAGAGATGAGACCAGAGTCCAAAATAAAAGAACGGTTAATCCAGGACCGATGTTCCGGTCCATACCCCTCCCAGTCCACCAGATATTGATGGCCACGCCCACGAGGGCGGACCGCAAGAATGCGCCGGACAGAAAAGGAAGGATGACCAGCCACCAGTGTTGTGTTCAAGACCACCTAACCCGAGACCAAGACAAGACCAAGACCAGAGTGTATCGAGACCGAG